TGGCTCACGGTGCCACCCTTGTGGGATGTTTAGGCAAGAGATTTTTGCTGACTTTTTTTCAAATTTTTTCATTTACATTTGGTGTTTTCGTGTTTTTTCCCCCTATAAGATAATAGTGTAGAACAAAAAGTAGAAGAGTACAATAAACGAATAGAAATTGGGTAGTGGTGTATACCTGTGAACAATCAAAATTGCTTGTGTATCCATTCACTGAGAGATTGGGGTTGCGCTTGGGAGTAGCCCGAGCGAAAACGCATGTCAAGGTTCGCGATGGCTCTCTCTTTCGGGACTGCTTAAAAGAGTAATCTGTTGATGGTTTAGCTCCATGACATATGTTAGCTTCGGGTTTCTCGAGGAAGTAAACTCTCGGTGGTTTAACTCTCCGACAGCACCTTTTTATCGTCGGGACGAAAAAATAGAGGGATTAGTTGTCCCAGTGACAGGGTCATCGAATTTTGGATCCGTAGTACACCTATTCCTACGACATGCCCGTCAACGAGCAGAGTGGAAACGTCCATAGGTGAGTTTCTGATGTTTGCTCGTACGCAGTTCACGAAGCGAGATTCGCAGTGTTTCGGTGTGGGGATGTTTTGAATAGCCAATTCAGTTGCTGATGGAATCGAGGGGTAGCCAAGGAGTTGTCTAGTTAGGCATGGAAAAAGACGGAGCTAAATCGATTACACTACTACAATTTACAGACATGTGATAAGTGTAAATTGCAACCGCTTCATCAATAGTTGTGTGAGCTTTCGAAATATTTGAACGATTTAGTGCTCGGTTTGATTGTTGGGGGGATTTACCAGGTCATTTGTAATGGTACAGTAGTATTCTGAAATTTTTGAAAGGCTAGAGATTATGTAAAACTAATTGAGACCTTAATTAGGGAAATAAAACTCGTAAAAAAGGAAATATAAACAAACAGGTAATTAAAAATGGAAATTAATAGAGATGAATTCCCGAACAGGAATATTTCGCCCTCATGTTGTCCCTGTTCAACACTGTAACTGGATCGTAGTTTATAGGATAATGATGGTAATGATAATAATAGTAATAATAATAATAATTATGATAATAATAATGACAATAACAATAATAATAGTAATAATTGTAATAACAAATTATTACTTATGCGATAAAGAAAAAAGAAAAGTATTTATCAGTGTACGGAAGGAAATTGTGAGGGGCATTTGAGTGCATTGATATTCCTTTCCAGTACCACAACATCAGAACAATTTGAACGGATTGATCTGTTAATGCAGTGGCTTGATCACGGCAACCACGATAAAAATAAGCCCCGGAGATTTTTGTTGCGCGTATCGACACATATAATGACGTGGGACAAGACGTATATTTCTTTCTTTCAGAATGTATCAAATGGAACAGAGGGCAGAGAAGAAAGCTAAAAAGCCAAAGACGCGTACGTTACGTGAACTTTCACCACCACCACCGCCAGTAACGCTGAGCGAGCTAGGGGAGACTGAACCGAGCACATCGGGGATTGGCACCCGAGCTGCGTCGTTGAAGAATGGAAGCGGAGATGCTGCTGTGCCAGAAGAAAAGGTAGAAGCAAACGAAGGGGTGGTTGATGATAGTGTGGCAGAGATTACTAGTAATGGAACAAACGCCGATCTGGGAGAAACAAGGTTTGCGTTATGGTTGTAGTTGTGCTTTTTAACTAACTGTTATTTCATTGTCGCTTTTTCACCATTGATGGAGCTAGCAACTTTTCTATTATTCCTTGTTGAAGAAATGCCTAGACAGTACTCTAGTAGTCGTAAAAGTAGAAAAAAATGAATTAAGCGGAGCAAGAAATAAAGGAAAACACAAATAGGAATATTTCAGTCCATTAAT